TCTAGGCCTCCTGAATTTCTACAATTCTTTTCTTCCACATAAAGCTAGTGTAGCTGAGCCTCTTCACAGGCTACTAGACAAACAGGCTGTGTGGCTGTGGTCACAAGCGCATGAGGCTTGCTTTAAAGAAGTCAAGGCCTTGCTCACTTCTAACAGTGTTCTTGCACATTTCAACGAGTCTCTCCCTGTGTGCATCGCTTGTGATGCGTCCCCCTACGGGGTTGGAGCTGTCCTGAGTCACCTCAGGTCTGATGGAACTCAGGTTCCTATTGCATACTACTCCAGAACACTGTCTTCTGCCGAGCGCAACTACGCTCAGATAGACAGGGAGGCTCTGGCTGTTGTTGCTGGAATTAAAAAATTCCACGATTTTCTATATGGCAGGCATTTCACGGTCTTCACTGACCATAAGCCTCTGCTGGGACTGTTTACCACACGTAAGCAGACTCCCCACATCATTTCCCCTAGAATGCTTAGGTGGTCTATTTTCTTGTCTGCATATGATTTTTCATTACTCCACAAGCCTGGGAAAGAAATGGGCCATGCTGATGGCCTCAGTAGATTGCCTCTGCCAGTAGTAGAAGCTGACCCCGCGCCAGCTGTCAACATTCTATCAATCCAAGCCTTGCCCGAGCTCCCTCTTAGTGCCAGGGATGTTACCGCTGAAACAGGTACAGATCACACACTTTCACGTGTCCGCTCCTGGGTCCTGTCCGGGTGGCCTGAGCACTGCCCTAGTCCTGAGTTTCAGAGTTTCTGGTCCAAAAGAAACGAACTGTCCCTTTCTCAGGGTTGTCTGCTTTGGGGAAACAGAGTTGTCATTCCCACCTCAATGAGGACTAGGGTCTTAGAATCCCTCCACGAGGGTCATCCTGGCATTGTTCGTATGAAGGCTCTTGCACGCAGCCACTTGTGGTGGCCTGCTTTAGATAAAGATATTGAGGCTAAGGTACACGCATGCCACCTGTGCCAACGATCTCGCCCAGAGATGCCCCAAGCTCCTGTGCATAGATGGGAGGAAACACAGTCCCCATGGTCTAGGGTGCACATTGACTACGCTGGGCCCTTTCAGGGCCAGTTCTTCTTGGTCCTTGTTGACAGCCATTCAAAATGGCTTGAGGTTGTGCCTGTCTCATCCACCACCACTGCAAAGACTATTCAGGTACTGAGGGGGATTTTTGCTGCACACGGGCTGCCAGATGTCATTGTGTCCGACAACGGCCCTCAATTCACCTCCTCCGAATTCCAAGCTTTCTTACAGGCAAACCTGATTCGTCATGCCACGTCTGCGCCTTTTCACCCGTCCACCAACGGTATGGCTGAACGCATGGTGCGCATCGCAAAGGACGCCTTGAAGAGACTCACCTACGGGGACTGGCATCACAGGTTGGCTGACTTTCTCCTTTCTTATCGCACCACACCGTCCACTTCTACAGGGAGAAGTCCAGCTGAACTTCGTTGGGGGCGCCAACTTACTACTAGACTTGACCGGTTGCATCCGGACAGACTGCCTTCATCTACCTCACATCCTAGGGCACCTAGACAACTACTTGTGGGTGCCCCGGTTTGGGCTCGCAATTACGGGCCTGGTCATACATGGGTCCCCGCTTCTGTGTCCAGGATCACAGGTCCTCTCTCCTACGAGGTTGCCCTGGACAACGGTCGTGTCCTGCGTCGGCACATCGACCAACTTCGCTCTAGGCGAGACTTTTCTGCTGAGACTCCTGGGTCTTTTCCAGGGGGGGAGGGGGACCCTTTGGAGCAAAGGGAAGGGCAAGAGCTACTGCCCATCTCCACTGAGGGAGCCACAAACGGCTCATCCCAAGGTTCTGCAATTGCTCCGAAAAGGAAAGTCATGGAGCTTACCCACACAACAGGCACTCACGCCTACTCCAGCCAGGGAGTCACCCCGGGGGCATACTCACTTTCCACACACATCACACAGCACTCCAGCAACGGAGGATACCCGGGGGCATCCCAACAAATCATTCCCTGCAAGAGAACTGGCACACAATTCCCAAGGTTGGCCCGACCTTACCCCAAATCCTACAGGGGGTCAAACATACACAGAGTTAGTCGAGGAACCAAGTCCCGACTACAACAACCCTAGCACAAATCAGGGAACACCTGAGTTTTGGGAAAGTACAGAAACCCACACGAGCCCGAACACAGAATGGGGTTCAGGGAATGGACAGCCTCCTGACAGGTCTTGGACTGACCTAGGAGGTTCTACAGAGACGCCCAGCAGCGGCTATCACTTCAAGGGGCCTGAGGGTCTACAGCTAGGTAGGTCAACCAGGTCACAAAGTAACAGAAGCCCTGGCCTGACGAGCCCAGTGGGCAAGCAAGCAGGCCAGGCATCGGGGCACAGTCCTTGGAAGACACCAGGGCACAATAGAGAGAACAGGCTCACGCCTCCCTCCAGTCAGGGGACTTATGCCAGTAACCCAGAGCTAAGAAGGTCACAGAGAGCAAAGAAATCTCCTAAGTATCTAGAAGATTACATAACATTGCTGGCAAGGCAAAAGCCAGTAATCAGTGGGAGCACTGGGGAGAAAAATGTCATATAAAATAAATGTTGTATGTTGGTAGTAGTTTTAGCCCGGGGGAAAGGGGTGTTATGTCCCGAGCCTTGCAAACGGCTCGGGCGTTTGCAGGCAGTCCCGGGCAGGTGCAAAGCTGCCTGGGACCAGACAGGCTGTCGCCAGCGCCGTGCGCATGCGCGGGTGCTGGCGCGGGAAAAGTAACCCATTTACCCGGGAGTTGCCTATATAAGAGGCTGCGAGGCGTTTGGGCGAGGCTGAAGCCATCTTCCTGTAAGCTGAACGCTGAATAAATGAAACTGAGAACTCCAGCTGCTTCTCGTGTCTGTTTTCCCGCCACGGACTCAACATATGTCTATCTTTGCTAGAGATAAAATGGAAAACTAGAAACTAGGAGCTGTTCCTTCTAATTTGGCTGTTTTATTTAACCCCATTGTGCAATAAATATTGATGACCCTTCATGAATAAGCAGCAAAACCAATTCCTGCTCCCCAAGATGCATGCAAATTGTTACTTTTTCTCTTTTCTCATTTGGATTGGCACCCTATTGCAAGGAATTTGGGAATATCTTCCAGTTGTACAATCTGGAGAAGTATTCTGAACCAAAGTACAAAACTATTGGTTTTTTTAAAATCTACTCTTAACATCACAAGAGTAAAAACTATCATGTGCTCTATACTGACTTTCAGTTTGAGTTAAATGTGTTTACATGGAAACGATCCAACAAGAAAATGTTTGCTTTCTAATCATGTGCTTTGCAACAAGAAATACAGTTAATTTAGATTAAATGTCTGTTCCTACCAGATTTCTTGTCTGTTCCTTCCCAAAATTGTAGTTTCTGTCTCTTCTGTTATGCTTTCATGCTAGTAAAGAACAAATTTTGAGCAATTGTATTTGGCTGTAACCTTTGTCTGTAATTTAACTTGTTAGTCGAAATGCTATGCAGTGCCAAAAATATTCACATACTGAAGACAGTTCTTGACTTACAGACACATACTGAAGACAGTTCTTGACTTACAGACACAATTGGGACCAGAATGTTGGTTGCTAAGCAAGGTGTCTGTTAAATGAATCATGTCCAATTTTTTACCTTTTTTTACACTGTTTTAAGTTAATTACAGCTATGACTTATGATCATAGCTGTAATTAGAATTTCCATTGTTAAGCAAGGCAGTTAAGTGGGTCACACTCTATTTTATTGCCTTTTCTGCTACGTTTTTTAAAACAAATCACTGAAGTTATTAAGTGAATCAGGCAAACAGGTGATTTGAGCTTCCCCGTTGATTTTGCTAGTCAGAAGCTAACTGGAAAGGTCGCAAAAGGGTGATCACATGACACTGAGTCTGTCATGGTTCCGACAGATGAAACTCTTCAAAGAACTTCAAGGCATTGTTTTCCTTAAAGAATCTTTATTTGAATAGCATAGCATCTAGCATGTACATAGGCGAAGCCAAAATCTGAATTCCCCTCCCCTGCACACATAATATCAAGCGCAATTCCATCCTCTGATTAACAATCATAAATCACATTCTCCAATTAGTTTGAAATGTAGGCTTTCCCTTCAGTTCTCCAACCGCCATTTCTTATCTCTTATTTCAAAAAAACCTTCATTCTCACACTGCTACAATATTGTTATGTCTAACTAACTCCCATACACATTCCTGGGCCAGAGAAATTATTGTTTAATTCTATGAACTGGTGTCTGGAGATAGAGTTAGTTTCACTTTGACGTTACCATTCCGTGTATTTAATAAAAAATAAGATTTTCGGAACCAAAATGAACCTGGGCTTTTATTTGTATCCTCGAGCTGGATGTTGACACTAAGTTGGCACTGAGAATTAATTAATTGAATAAAGTATGTTAAATTAACGTAGAAGACAGTAAACTTTCATCCCTAAGCACTGTTTTCTCATATTTATTATTGATTTGTTGCACAGTCAGCCAGATTTTCAGACTGGTAATTCGGGATTTTTATCCACCCTACTGAGTCTTTCCTAAAGACCTGGGATAGGCTGATGTTGATGTTTTATGGTGCTAGAGGTATTGTTTTATCTTATTTATTAAATTTATTTGACACGCATCTCGTTTCAAAGTGACTTTGGATGGCATATACCATAAAAGCATTTATGGCTTTAGTATTTAGTATTCTTGTTTATTTAGTGTCCATGGTGGTGCAGTGGTCAGAATGCAGTATTGCACGCAAACTCTGCCCACTGCCAGCAGTTTGATTCTCATTGGTTCAAGGTTGACTCAGCCTTCCTTCCGAGGTTGGTAAAATGAGGACCCAGATTGTTGGGATCAATATACCGTAACCACTTAGAGTGGGCTGTAAAAGCACTATAAAGTGGTATATAAGTCGAAGTGCTATTGCTATTCTTAGAGAGAACATCCTGTTCTTTCGATGTAGCAGAAACATCGGGGTTGGAATATCCTAATTCAGATGTCTTTTTTTCTAGGGGAAACTGGCATTGGCAAATCAACCCTCATGGACACACTATTCAACACCAAGTTCGAAAGTGACCCCGCCACCCATAAGGAACCTGGCGTACGGTTGAAAGCAAGGAGTTATGAACTTCAGGAGAGCAATGTCCGCCTCAAGCTGACAATTGTCGATACGGTGGGATTTGGAGACCAGATCAATAAGGATGACAGGTAATGTGAAATTTGATGATGGTGATGGTGATGATAGTGATGTTATCCATTCAGTCATGTCCAAATCTTGGTGATTCTGTGGGCCAGGTCTCTCCACATCTTCTGATCTTGTACCACTTCTTTGAGTTTTTCTATGCTCCGGCCAGTGTCAACTTTGGTGATGTCCAGCTTTTATCTCAAACTCTTCCCAGCATAATTGCTTTCTCCAGTGAAGTCCCCCCCCACCCCCCACATGTCCTGGCCAAAATAAGCGAGAGGCAGTTTTGTGATTTTGATGTAAAATTTACCCCATGCAAAATATTCTGGAAATGGGAGAACTTAGAGATCTTGATGGGGGAACAATATCCATTGATTGGTCTCTAAATTTTAATAAATGCATCAGACTTGGGACACCAAGGGACAGTCCTTGTCTGCTGGAAGAAATCTTGGGAAACAGTATAGAGCAGACATGTCAAACACAAGGCCCGGGGGCCGGATGCGGCCCGCGAAGTGGTTTCATGTGGCCCGCGAAGCCATCCTGGAAACAGTGAGGGAACGGCGCTCGGTGCCTTGGCCCTGGCCCTGGCCAGCCGGGAGCCAATGTACAATTTTGTGGTGGCCATCTGTGCTGAAATGCATTCAGTCTTAGTTCCACAAGGCCAGTGTTTCTCAACCTTGACAATTTTAAGGCATGTGGACTTCAACTCCCAGAATTCCATAGCCAGCAATGCTGGCTGTGGAATTCTGGGAGTTGAAGTCCACATGCCTTAAAATTGTCAAGGTTGAGAAACACTGCACAAGGCCATCCGGAAACAGCGAGGAAAAGCCACTGCCGCGTCAGCCCCACCCCCTGGGTGCATGCTGGGGAGGTGTCACTCTTTGTGAGGAATGAAGAAATGCACCATAGCCTGAAAGTGGCCAGCAAATGGCCCTCGCCTACTTCACATATCCGGCTTGATGGGCTCTGCCCTGGTCCCACCCCCTTCTGCCAGAGACCCTCAGATCTGTCCCACTCCTGCCCAGGCCCCCACAGGTACCCTTGACACAAATGATGTAGAGCTGGCCACACCCACTCAGTAGGCCACACCCATTCCATCCACACCCACCCAGTAGGCCGCACCCCCCTGCCCTCCCCCCCCCGAGGGCAAGTGCAATGCTGATGCGGCCCTCAATGAAATTGAGTTTGACACCCCTGGTATAGAGGTTTTCGAGCCCAGAGAAAGACAGACAGACAGACAGACAGAAAGAGAGATCAGTTGTTCAAGAGGGGAAACACCTTACCATTTATTGTCTACTTTGCATCTGATTCAATTGGCAGCAAGCTTTCCTTCATCTGTCAAGATCTTCTTGGTTAAAAAGGCACCCTCTGAAGGTGATAGAAACAGGCAAGCTGTTATCCCTATATGCCTTGTCACAACTGAAGGCTTGTTTCAAATGATCGTTAGCCAAGTCTGGCAACCATAGTTAATCTCCTATCATAGTTGTTTAAAAAAAAGGGGGGGGGGTGTTTCCAAACAGCTGCTAATCATGATTGAATTCTTTATAGAAAAACCTTCAGTTTTTCAAGAAGGTATATCAGCTAACTGTGTTAATTCTAGAAGGCAATAAGGCTGCGTCTCTCTTTGGATGTGATATATATTGTGGTTTCCTATTTTTTGTTGGGGAGTGTGGGGTGGGGGGAGGGGGTAGGCAGCAGGAAAGTTCATTATTACAGGTAGTCCTTGACTTACAACCAACACAATTGAGCCCCAAATTTTTCTTGCTAAGCGAGACAGTTGTTAAATGAATTTTGCCCCATTTTTCTTGCCAACATTGTTAACCCGAATCACTGAACTTGTTAAGTTAGACATACGGTCGTTAAGTGAATTTGGCTTCCCCCATTGTCAGAAGGCTGCAAAAGGGGATCGACGACCCCCAGAATATTGCAACCTTCATAAATATGAGCCAGTTGCCGAACGCCCGAATTTTAATCACGTGACCGTGGGGATGCTGCAACGGTCGTAGGTGTGAAAAATGGTCATAAGTCACATTTTTCAGTGCCCTTTGAAAAACAGTCACAGAATGAATTGTTGTAAGTTGAGGCCTCCCTGTATATAGGGAGAACAACATCTAAGACCTACCTACTGTAAGACACAGTCCTTACTCTGAACTTGACCACAGTTAAGCCAGATCTCAGTGACTGCCAACTAATGGGGCTGTGGCAAAAACCAGATTTATTTGGACCAAAGTGGCACAATTCAGCTTTATTTCAGGCTTAAATAAAATGGCCATTTCAACCAAAGGTGGTAACTTAAGATGTCTTTTGGGGGATCTCTTGTAACTTTGAACAGTCACTAAGCAATCGGTCATAAGTCTGAAATTAGTGAGGTTTGTGGGTTCCCCCAAAAAAGTTGGGATTTGTGTCGTCCTTCAGTTGTCTCTGATAAAGGGGACAAGTGTAGATTATATTTAATGCAAAGTGAATAAGATTTGCAGCGCAGTAGTTATCCAGCTAGATAAGCAAGCTCACTCCATATATGGTGAGCCAAAACCTTTTGTAAAAAAAAAAAAATGTTTTCATGTGTGCAGTGACCCACAGTTTTTGAAATCTGTTACTTTGCTTGTCTTTATACTAGACCATTCTGGTGTAAAGAAAAAGATTATTTCCACACAAACAGACTGTGGGAAACCCGTGAATACTGGATTTGTTTCAAAATTGATTTGAAAGTTTGTACACTACCTAAAACTTTGGGTGTGGGTGAGTTGATTTTAGCTAACAGCCGGGCTATTTTAACAATTTTGTCTTGAATTTTCCTAAATAGGGAATAAGTCTTTCACAAGGAATTCGTGGAATGTGTGGTTTGAAAAAAAAGAAAAAGAAACTCAATATGCGTCATTTTAAGACTGTGGAAACATAGAATGGGAAACTATTGAGTAGAAGTCTCTCTCTCTGTGTATGTGTGTGTGTATGTGTGTATAAAGCAGCATGGGTGACTCCTAGCACATCCTACCTTTAGTTTCATTTCTCTGGACTGTATCAGAAATTGTTGTTTACTCAGATTTGAACATGGCTAATGGAACAACAAGCCTGCCACATGAATCTATTCTCCTGTTTTGCGCTGCGTCAGCTTTTGTTATAACTCCGGCTCTATTCTTTAAAACCTTCCTTATCTTTAAACTTGGAATTCACTATAAGCCCTCAGTGTAAAGCTTCTTCCTTGCTTAATGCTAGCACAGGGGAGATATGGAACAGCTGTCAAAAGATGCTGGCAGTTCTTTTTTTCCCATTCAAATTCCAATGAGATGCCCTGATAAACGGACACCAAATCAGAGCACCCTGCAGCTCGTTGGGAGTTCATCCTCAGTTGAGGAACCATCTGTTTCTGAAAAAGAACAGTTCACACACACACACACACACACACACACACCCTTAGTATACAGACATGCTCACAAACTGTGTAAAATGTTGTTCAGAAGCAGCACAATGCTAGATGTGGGAGGTGACCAAGCTGGGTCCGAGGGCGGGGTCAAAGGCCCCATCAGTTTGGAGTCTTTACATCTCCACAAAGGGCCTCAGTCCAGCCCTTCTTGACGTCCTTTGACTTTTATTTGGCTCCAGTTCCCCTTGACTTTCTGCATATCTGTGAATTTGCTATACAGGAAGTCCTCAACTTACGAACATTCGCTTAGTGACTGAAGTTACAACGGCACTGAAAAAAGTGACGTGACTGTTTTTCATACATCTGTTGCAGCATCCCCCATGGTCACATGATCAGAATCTGGATGCTTGGCAACTGGCACGTATTTATAACAAATTGCAATGTCCTGGGGTCATATCATCACTTTTTGCAAAGTCAATGGGGAAACTAGATTCACTTAATAACCGTGTTACTAACTTAAAACTGCAGTGATTCACTTAACCACTGTTGCAAGGAAGTTTGTAAAAGGGAACAAAACTCACTTAACTGTGTTGCTTGCCCATGGAAATTTTATGCTCAATTGTGGTTGTGCTTATGATTGTACTAGGAGGAATGACAGAAATATATATAAGAAGAATGCAATTTGCATTTGAGCCTGGGTCCAAGGTTTGTCTGGCCAAGGATATGATTTGGATGCCGCAATCATAATGGTGGTGGATCACCTCAAAAAAAAGGGGGGGGGCTGTTAACATGGTTAATTCCTCCTGAACTGAATATGAATTCTTTTGTTTCAGCTACAAGCCCATTGTGGAATACATAGATACTCAGTTCGAGGCCTACTTGCAGGAAGAGCTGAAGATCAAACGGTCCCTGTTTAATTATCACGACACCAGGATCCACGCGTGCTTATATTTCATTGCCCCAACTGGGCACTCTCTGAAATCCCTTGACCTGGTTACCATGAAGAAGCTTGATAGCAAGGTACCGTTCACCATGATGAGATCTCGGTTCTTATTTTACCATTATGTGGTAAAGATCCTTATTTAAAATCTCGGTTCTTATTTTACCATCACATGGTAAAGATCCTTATTTTTCCAAAGTGAGGATGAAGGTGAGGCAAAGTCTGAGATTGTTTTTTTTTTTAACAAAATTTTATTAAATTTATATAGGTAAGGAAAAATAGGAAAAATACAGGTATGGTAAAGGGAAGGGTAAAAAGGAAAGGGGGAGGGAAAGGAAATAAGGGATTAGGGTAAAATAAGGATAGGTACAATCACATATTTCAACAAACAAGCAACCGTCCGGTTCATAATAATGAGTAAGTATCATATTCAACCATTTTTAACAAAGCTTAAACTGTAACATATTAAAAATAATTAGTAAACAAATACGTTGATCTATTAAGTAAACACTACTAACAAAATCACAAAAAAACCAAATAAAATAAAATAAAAAAATAAATCCTAACAATCAAAAGTAACAATTGAAAATCAGTAAATCAGGAAAAGTAATCGTATCATCAAAATGTTAGTTAGAACTCGATTAAAAATCAGCCATCTATCCTAAAATATTAACTCCTTCAAGTTCTAACGTGTCTCTAACCATTGATAAAATTTTTCCCAAGTTCTAAAATAAATTGAATCATCTTTTTCTTTCATTTCTAATGTTAGTCTATCCATTTCTGCACATTCTAGAATTTTGGTAATAATAATTTGGTCAGATGGTAGATTCTCATTTTTCCAAAATTGGGCAAATACTATGAGATTGTTTTTTTTTGAGGAGGGTGTGAACCAATGCCATTTTAAGAGGCAAAGGGACAACATGGATAAATTCTCAAGGATGAATTAACCATCGCTAGAAACCACATGTCCCCTGCCATAGTTATCCAGGAAAGGTATGTATCTAAGAAGCAGGTGAAGTCATAAAGATCCTGTCCATTTTCTCGAGTTCAAACTGTTTCCAGATAACAGGGCAAGACTGTTTACTAGACATTTCCACCGAAGCTGCACTAAGGTTGATGTCTAACTGGGATTGAATTTGGGCAATTTTATCTGACATGCTCTGAAATTTTGTTTGTGTGTTTTAAGGCTCAAAGTTATCATCCCTTCTGCACTCTGAACTGAAAAATCCATCTTGGATTCCTTCTTTCTCTCTCTCTTTTTTTATTTCTCTCCAAATGATATATGGGATAAAAAAGGCAAAAAAAAAAAAATATTTTTCCTCCCTCCCAGATTCCGGAATGTCCAACTCAGCTTTTTGCAAACAGCACACAAAAGCAGTTACTTTTTTACACAACATTTAAATTATGGAATTCTCAGCCTGTAAAATTTGGTTCCAAAAGAAGTGGTGGAATTTATTTTTTAAAAAAGCCTAAAAAGTCATGAAAGATAGGTTAACAGTCTTTTTATACTTTTTCTAGGGGAAACATTTTTGGAAAGAAAGTTCATAAATTTGGCAAAAGTTTTTTCCAAATAAGTATCAGCCACATTCTTGCAATACAAGTTTATATAATATAAAGGGTTTCCAAGTACTGTTTAATTTCTTTCTTATTATTATGTTCACCAATTGTTTAATGACATTCTGTTTAGATTAGAGTTTTCAGACTGGGCATCTTTAAGATGTGTGGACTTCAGGCATGGCTAGCTGGGGAATTCTGGGAGTTGAAGTCCACAGGTTTTAAAGTTGCCAAGGTTGAGAACCACTGATTTAGACAGAAGGAAATTGATATTCTCTGTTCTTCGCTTAATCCTTTTGTATTTTTTCCTCCACTTCAGCAAAGAACACAGGACACCCACGGTGAAATGTATATAAATCCCTAGAGAATCTTATAAGGCAGAGTTCTCCAACTTTGGGTTTAGTAGGCCATCCGAGAACTTGAGACTGTGATCAACAAATACATTTGGAATTTGATTGATAACTGTTTGTGGAGTTTTAAAGAACATTTGCAAACATTGCTGGGAACAGAGTTTCCGATTCACAAATTGACAGTTGTTGGGAGTTAACCAGTTATAAAACATCAATTTACTGTCTCTCTTTGAGCCACATGCAGATGATAAGCATTCAGTATAATCCATGATGATGGTGGGGGGGAATGGCAAAACACGACATCATAACACAAACTTTCTTACTTATTTTCTGGCGCAGGATGCAAATCCTAAGCTGTGTCATTGTGACACATATTTGTTTATTTGCCACCCTGCAGATGCTTGCGTTCCCAAAGGTATTCGTCAAAATAAAAAATGATCTTGGTAGCTGGGCTGTGAAAAATATTATTTATTTTGCAAAAAAATAATTTCGGGAATATATAAAAGGCCAGATGAGACTGAGCACCTGATATTGAAGCAGTATTCTTCCCTAGCAGCATATTCAGTATTAACTAAAAGGTGCATCGCACCATTTCAATATATTATTTTATTTATTCATTCAGTTTATATAGCTGCCCATCTCCTGACTCTGTGAGGCAAAACATCCTATGTTTAATTTGGAAAAGCAACACATTCCAGTGGGATGTTCTGCCAAGTTGTAAGGGCTTCAATTTCCCAGCAAGTATGTGTTGATTATATTTGCAAATTACTTTATGAGATAAGCAGCCGGTCAAAAACGTTTTCTTTTTTCTTTTTGGTTACTTATTTGGATTTAGTAATTAGTTGAACAAGCTTACACAAGAATCTCAGTTTGTGTCCTGGGCCTCTTTTGGAGTAGTTATAAAAAAAAAAAATAGAGTGGAAATTTTTCTTGTTGATTTCCGATGTGCAAACACAGGGCAAGATGTTGATTAGATATTTCCTACGCTTTATGAAATAAATTTAAACTTAGCACACAAAATTTGATGCAGTTGAACAATCCTTGGAATTCACTTTCACAACGATTCTTATCTCCTTCCTTTAAAATAGTTGCTAATAGTTTATAAGGCATATAATATTTCCTGTATAAATATGCTATAGAGCAGTGGTGGCGAACCTATGGCACGGGTGCCAGAGGTGGCACTCGGAGCCCTCTCTGTGGGCACACACACCGTCTCCCCAGCCCGGCCTCCTCTCACGGCCCCCTCCTCACCAGCAGCCCCCCCCCGGAGGAGAGTCACCCCTGGGCGAGGCCCACACGAAGCAGTGCAGCCAAAGACATGGTAGCTGGGCAGCGGAGACAAGACTTTGCCCTTGCGCCCTGTCACACGCAGATGATGCTATGGGGCATGGGCAGAAGGCATGGCCACCATGGCACTGCTGGGCTTCCTGGGTGATTTGTGGTGGGCCGTAGAGTGGTGGGTGGCCCAGTGGGCAGGGCGGAGTAGGGACGGGTGGAGGGGCGGTTTTTGGGCACTCGGTCTCTAAAAGGTTTGCCATCACTGCTATAGAGAGAGAAAATAGGAAATTGTGTTACTGTTTATTTTATTTGCACAAGTAGTCGTCGACTTATGACCACAGTTGAATCCAAAATTACCGTTGCTAAGCGAGACATTTTTAAGTGAGCTTTGCCCTATTTTATGACCTTTCTTGCCACAGTTGTTAAGTGAATCAGTTTGTAAGTTAGCCACACGGTTAAGTGAATCTGGCTTCCCCATTAACTTTGCCTGTCAGAAGATCATAAAATGGGATCACTTGATCCCGGGACACTGCAAACTATCATAAATATAAGTCAGATACAAGCCTCCAAATTTTGATCACGTGACCACGGAGATGCCGCAATGGTCGTAAGTGTGAAAAACGATCATAAGTCACTTTTTTCAGTGCCATTGTAACTTTGATCAGTCACTAAATTATATGTTTTAAGTCGAGGACTATCTATACGCTGAAATGCAAATTAGTGGATCTTATTTTATTTGCTGCCAGTATTGGAATTTTTTAGGAAAAATGGCTAGGCTGAAAATGAATAGATTGTTCCAAAAAGTGTTAAAAATTTAAAGTGTGTCCTTGTTCATTTTGTCATGTAAATTGCATCAACCATATTCGACAGGTTGACTGTGAACTAAGTAGATAATTGACGCGAATAAATTAAGCACATAAAAATCTACCTGGAGCCTTATAGGGTTAAGTCTAATATCAATCAGTCAATCAATGTCGAGCATTTTTTTTATTATGCAATAATCAGATAGCTATAATAAGGAAACTCACAAATAGGATGGGAAAGTGTCACAAGCAAATTCTTGAATTAATATACCATGCAACCTCTAAAGTCCTTTTCACAAGCAAATTCTTGAATTAATATACCATGCAACCTCTAAAATTAGTAACTTTACTCAAGTCTTTGGCCTGGATGGGTCTGCCCTCCCTTACAGGGAAGATGTGAATTTTGGTCTGTCTGATTTTGCTGATATTTTCTATTCCTTGTTTTTAGTATTGTATAGTTTTATTGGGGGGGTGTATTTTTACTTGTGAACTATCCAGAGCCATTGGGAGTTGAACAGTGTACAAATTTAATCAATCAGTTTAACCAATCGACATTTGATAGCTCCATCCTCTATGTATTTGTCCACTTATCCACTAAAAAAACATCTAAACACTAGTGGTCGTTGCCACACCCAGTGACAGCAACTTCCAACTTGGATATTTGATATATAAAGAAAGAAGTCCTGAGTCATCGCATAATTGCTTTTGGTGATGATCCCAAGTTTTAATATAGCAAGAAAGGGACAGAAATCTCTCCTGACCAACTTTGCATGCCATGGATGGTTTTAGAGTAAATATCGCTACCGTGTTTTCCCTTGCTAACATTCTTTTTAAGCAAGCAATCCGCAAACTCTTAATTTGGTAGCCACTTTTTATACTTTTTCAGCGGTATGGCATTTTTGCTTGAGATCTGAAAGTGAGAACCAATCTCCAAGTGCAATTCTGCCACAGATTTATACAAAGGCATAAATCCTACCTTGGTGGTTTATTTTCCTAGCGTGAAGTTTGCCCTTTTAAAATGTAGCTGTATGCTAATTACTTCCACTCAAGTGGAGACCACAGTTCAGAATAACATAAAGCATGTATTTGGGAATG